TAGCTTTTTAATTAATTACTGTTAATTTTTAATCGATCGCTGACAATTTTTTATTTAAAAAATTGTCAGCGATCTATTATTGTTGATCTATTGTTTAAAAAATTATTTTATTTGCAATTCTGTTACTTGTTAAAAATAAGGAATAATAAATATATTCATTATTCCTCATTTTTAACAAGATAAAGTAACAGAATTGCTAATAAAAAAGATTGTCATAATCAGTCATAAAATTGTCATCAGTTATTTATCGAACTGTTTTTGTCAAATTTACTTATTATAATAAAATTTCTTTAGTAACGTAAAAAAGAACAAAATAAATTAATAAAATAAATATAATTAATAAAATAAATTATTATTTTTTTTTTAGTCAAAATAAATCATATTGTTTTCAGTCAATTTATATATTTATTTTGACTAAAAAAAAATAATTTATTTTATTGTTCTTTTTTACGTTACTAAAGAAGTTTTATTATAATAAGTAAATTTGACAAAAATAGTTCGATAAATAACTAATTCAACTATGATGTTAGCAAATATTACATAGATATTATTATACAGACGTAATTAGACAGGTTCACAAAAAAATTACATTTAGACGAGTTTGCATAAATATGAGCGATTTCATTCGCGTGTCAGTGGAATATTCCATTAGTTCATTTTTTATCTTATCAATCTGTTGCTATTTATTAAAGCTCTTTATTTATTAAAAAGGATTTATTAATAATAGTTACACGGAATCTCATTAAAGTCATTATATGTGTCATTAATATTTGGATTTTTATAACGTCTCTATATAAATGACAATGAATTTAATGATCATGTATGAATTGTGATAATTAAAAATAATTAAATCAAATTGTCACGATTGTATATAACAGTCCAGAGATTATCTTTATTAAATATTTTAATATATCGCGCAAAGAGCTAACTCCCAACTAATCCTCTAAACTAATTGTAATATAAACATCTCTTTGTATCATTATATATTTTTTTAATTTTACAAAATTTAATTAATTTAAAAAATTAGTAGTTTGGTTTCGATCTGCAGAATTAGAGTGATGTAACTTATATATTGTATTTTTTCTTTTTTTTTAATTTACACCATTTAAACATTTGTATTTTTATCATTATTACAAAATATCATGTAGAAATACATTATCGTTTATCTTCGTGCGTAAATTAAATTTTGAATTTAAATTCGACTTTTATAAGATCGTAATATTTCATTGTAACACCATTGTGACATTGTATATTGCATCACGCCTTGACCGAACGACCTCAAGTTGTTTACGTGATTCTAATTAATGTACGACACATCGAGGTTAAATATCCGCGCGGGTTAAACGTCTTCGTTCGCGGATCATACCGGATCGCGCGAGGAAGCAAGATCGGTCACAATTATCGGCGTATTGCAATTTTTTACCCGGCAAAATTACAGAACCGCATACGCCAAGATGCACGTACGCGATTCACGCAAAACACCGGGCGAGACGGACAAACCGCAGGTGTGGCGACCAATGTCAGTCTTGACGTAACGCAATTTGATCTGCACGGCGACGATGATGAGTCCATGCAATGTGAATTGGACGGACAGTTTTATGCACCGTTTGCTTTGCGTCGAGCATATAAGCGCTTTCAGTTACGCGACAACGACAAACGGTCAATAAATCTCTGATGATTTATTTCCAGTATATCACACTTGTTCTCCGTCAGGGCAGTCATCTATTCGCTTCTTACGCAGATGCAAATCCGCCGGCTATCTTTAAATATATTAATCTCGGAAGCCTCGAAGAATTGTGTTACACGCGAATATATAATGTTTATTTGCAGAGTTATATGCAGATTTTTTTGAAATTGCAAATTTTTATGACCTACCAAGCGTAAAAATGCAGTGACCGAAACACCTATTTTTATCTCTGCATTGTGGACTACATTTTCAAGCTAGATTTTAAAAGATACACTGAAACAAAGATGCTATATCAACATTATTTTAATTGAAAATTATTTTGTTAATTCAATAACACTATTAATGAAACAAAACATTATATACTCTTGTTTCAATAAAATTTTATTTGTTTCATTAATACTATTATTGTGAATTAACAAGATTATTTTTAATTAAAATAATGCTGTTGTATAACATCATTTTTTTTAGTGTAACAATGCTATTGTATACCTAATTTAAAAGAAGACTTATATATTTAAAATCTAAAATTATGAAATCGTGTTACAAAAGCACGTAATATTTTCCTTTTTTTCTTTCTTATTGAGTCATGCTATATATATTTATTAAAATTTACGTCTCTAATAAAACTTACATAATCGTTAAGTAAAAATTATGAATTTGTTTTTACATTATTGCAGTAATTATATGTGTGTAATAAGTATGTTGTTTTCTTAAGTACTAAAATTGTATGTTTTTAAATGGAGATTTTTTTTATCAAATAACGACTGCTGCACGCACCGTGATAATTTCGCGTACTTTCATGCTTTAATACGAAAAAAGTGGTTTGTATAAAATCTACCTCCATACATCGGAAGAACTTTTATAAAAATAATCTTATAAAACATTCATTTTTTAAATTCAACATTGACTTCAAAATGTTTCTTGGGAGCGTATTTAAAGATTCATATTTTCTAATTGCAAAGTTCTGCATGGGAAAAAAAAATCGTACGGCGCATTGTGTGCTTCACGCACACAGGTCATTAATTTTCTCGCTTAGATTCGAAGTTAGCGATAACACCATTAAATGGCCAAACAGACAATACAAATGCGATAATTACTTATTTACTCCGTATGTGATTACGTAATTAATTGATGGATATAGGATGTATCTCAAGATTTATTATGTTACTACATAATAAATTTGAGGAATAATTTTGCAAAAGAATTCTACTAATAATTTTTTTTTTAATTCTCTTAATATTTTTATTTTTATATTCTTTTAATATCATTATTTTTATATCTGCTAACATTTATTTTTTATATAATTAAGAGAGAACTTCCTACGTAGTCGATGAATTACGAAAACGCTGTCGTAATTTTTTATCTTCCACGTTATTTTGCAAGAAATGCAGCAAGTCCCACGTCTAAACAACGAGAGTTCACCTGTCGCTGCATTATAACTATACCGATTATACTAGACGATTATCCACGCTGGTCGCACATGTTTCAATTATGAAAAATATTCATAAACAACATAGCAGCGCCGCGTAATACAGGATATTTAGCAAATGATAGACAGTTTTAGGACTAGAGAAACGCATGAGAAGAAGCGAAAAATATTCATTCGAATCCGGAAATATTTTTCCCGAGTGCCTTTCGCAATGTTGAGACCGACTAACCGCTGTGCTCCAGCAGTGCGCAAAATAATTATTCACAGAAAACTGAAATTTGTAATTTTATTGATTTTTTAATATTCATTCTAATGATTAATATAATTAAGAAATACAGAATCCAGTGGAATACTTTTCTATATAATTAATACTTATATATTACTTAATTTAATGTACTCTCTAAAAGTGCAATGAATTAGTGACTTCAGTGCCACACTTATAACTAGTGTAATCATTAGCAAATATTTTTTAGTATAATAATACACTGATTCACTTTTAGAGACTAGAATTTTCTACAAGTGAATCTACAGAAAATCATGTGAAAGTGAATTAGTGTACTATTAGTGAAAAACAGTAAACATTCGCTGATACATAATTTATAAGTATAGCACCGAAATCAGTAATAATATACTGATTTACTTTTAGAGAACATGTTAATTCATTGATTATTAATATTAATCGTCGCGGTAAAACATGGAATTTATTACAACAGATTTATTAAACAGGGATTTTAGCGAAGATCGAGAAATCTCGCGGCAGACCACAAGATTTCCGGTGAAAACCGTAATTTCCGGCGAGATAAATTGACCGGACGAACGCGCGCGTACTCACACTCTCGTATACTACGATCTTAAAACAAGCACGAGGCACAACAGCCTTGTACTAAAAATTCACCAAACCGTTTTAAGTTTGCCTCTCGTCCTCGTTTAAATTCTTATCAATGCACGTTCTACATGCGAGCTCGTTACGTTTCGCGAAAACTAATTTTTCAACGTTGGTGCAGTTTCCACAAGAAAGGCAATCTCGTTCTTGTTAATATTGATTATGCGCTTGAACGTTGCATGATGAACGGGAAAAAATTGATTTAATATCGATCACAGCAACGTCTTATTATTGATAATTATCTAATAATTATACGTTGTTTTCAGAATTTGGTGGGGGGAGGGGAATATCAAGCACCTTTAATATATTATCTTGTATTTTTTATGGAGACGATAAAAGCCTTCATGCGACTAAATCATGATTACTTTCGTACGTATTTGGAACACTGCACTCGTTATCAGTTCCATTACTTTCTCCCACATGTGTATTTTTATAAGTAGTACTTTCTACTTTGAATGTAACTTTCTTAAGATTCTAGAAACGATAAAAGAAAATTGAAAATTCAATCGTAACCAATTGATTGTGACCAATTTCTAATTCCTGCAGATAATCTACATGTAAAAACAAGTTTTTATTACTTTAATTACTCCTGCACCCGAGTATTTTATTTATATACACTCTGATATTTATTTTCCTGCCATTTTGTCTTTTTTCCGATCGAATATTAAGAGAGAACGCATGAGAGAAAGTTTCTTAGTTAATATCTATTTGGGCGCAACCTCAATCAAAAACTTTCTCGAAAATTGAGCTTTGACAGCTCAGTTTAAAAAAAATTATCACGTTCAAAGGATGCCGAGCCAATAAATTTCGATCGATCCAAGCGTTTCCGCAATTTATTTCGCGCATCTTCGATCGAGGATCCGTTATATCGAAAAAAAAAAAAAAAAAAAATGTATTTTACCAACGTATATAAGTCACACCGTTTTTATTTCGTGGAGTCGATAATCGGTCGGCCCCTTGGAAATTGACCTTTGCATTAACGATTTTTCGTTTTGTTTCAGAAACATATCGTAAACTTTGCCGGCGGGCAGGAGGAACGCGGAAGGAAAGGAGATGACACGTGGGGTCGTACAAGAGAACGAAACCGCGAATTTTCCACGCGCGCGCAAATAACGATCGAGGAGAGGTACGGCCTTGGAAGTGGCGAACGACAGTTCCTGACGATCGATCGACAGTCGCTTACATAGCTTAACGCCGTCGATTTATACGAGTCTCGCAATCCCTCTCGATCACCGACACCAACCGCGATCGCAAGACGGTTTCCTTTTATTCGACCGGAAGGGAAAGAAGTCAATCGTCATCGTATATCTCGTTCCCTCGAATAAAACACGAAGCACGACGAAGTGGCGGCACAATGTAGCGCGGTGATCTCGGCCGAAAGGTGTGAACTTTCTTACGTGAACTAGGAAACCAGTGCGAAAGTTCAAGGAATTATTCGCAAAGACACAAACGCGAGGATGAAGACGATGGGCGATGTCGTCGCGGATCCCATCGACGAGAACGATGGCACGGTGCAGCCCTCCAGCGCGAGCAAGGAGTTCGGTCAGAGGACTCTGAGATCCTTGAAGAGAGGACTGGGTCGGCTCTGGAGGAGGCACAGAGGCAACGCGTCGATTACTGAATACGATCCCTCCTACAAAGTCGCGTATCTTGGAAATGTGCTGACCGGATGGGCCAAGGGTGAGTGAAAATCGAAACAGATTTTGTTAAATGATCACTAGAGATTAGAACTTTATAATTAAGAAAAAGAGGAAATATGTTATTGTTTTATTGTATATTGTTTTACGGTATGTTCTGAAAGTTTACATTGTAATATTTTCAAAATCAACTTTGTAAAAATTAAAATTGACCTTAATGTCTTATTATTGTTGGATTAGTAGAATAACGATAAAGTAAAAGATTAAACTCTGTTTCATGTACAAAAAAAAAATAGTTTTTGCTGAAGCAAAATTCTGCAAATTTAGCTAAATATAGATCTGAACATGAATCTGTTGAACTATTAAAATAATTATGTAGGACGCTCAAGCTGGTTACTAAAATGCTAAATTTTTTGCGGCATTGTTCATCAGGCTTGTATTTCCTGTATAATTATGTTGAAGGTCCAACCAAATTATTTTTAAGTTTGCGTTTATAGCTAAGTTTTTAGCTATTTTTAGATAACTAAACCGTTTTTACCGTGTATGAAATAAAGTTTAATTTTTTACTTTATTATTCCACTCGTATTGTTGTTCAACATTAATAAAATATTAATTTTAATTTACAAAATTAGTTTTTTGAGAATATCATAATGTAAATTTTTGGAACACACCTATAAATTTTTAGATACTTTTATTAAAATCGCTCTCTTTCGATTTATGGATGATTGAAGGATAACTGACTAATGTATCTTGTATTGTTTTACTCCGGGATATTTGTAAATAATTCACAAAAATAAAAAGAAAAAATTTCTCATATTATGACTGGACTGATAAAAAATATTGCAGGTAAATTAATATTACCTATAGATATTGAAGTCATTTGATAGATTTACTAATACGTCGTTTTAACATCATATGAATTAGTCAGTAAATTGATGGGATAAATGTATGCTCGAAGTAATAAATTTTTACGCATGTTACATTATCGCCAAAGGCAAACACATTACATATAATTAATTGAACTATAAATGCACAAAAAATATCATGCAAGCAGTTATGTTAAATTGAACCCATTATCATTTATGATAAATAATACGTTTACGAATAAACCTTCCCCTCATTAATCCCAACATCGTCGCATGATTAATTAAGCTACATATTTTCTCATATTTATTATTCAAGTAATTATATATGAGACCCGGATCATAGAATTTATCTTAAAGTTTATTTGTTCGTGAATGTTTATGTAGATCGGAAGCCGTATTATTTGTAAAAATAACATCGATATTTTATCAATAATCGACTCGACAGATTCGCCGACATTTCGCTTTCATTTCAATCGAGTTGTTCCGGATGATGAAAAAATTGGGCCGGTACTTAATTCATATCATCGGTAATTACGCGTCCAGATAAGCGGCAATTAAGAACGATAGATACACGTCGCGTACGCGCGCTATATTCTCGATCATGCAGCCTTGGTACGTGAATAACCAACCGGAAGTGCGCGATACCTCTTACGAGCGATACATCAGCAAGTAGCAAGATCATAGCTAATTCTGTATTGATATTTCATCGGTCGTGAATCTCATCCTTTTCATCGTTTTATTAAGGTGGCATAGGTATCTAGACGCGTCAAAACGAAGCTTAATTTTGTGAATTTTTTGTAGAAAAACAAAAAGAGATGAAAAAGTTGAGTTTATTTCATTGTAAAGGTGTATTTCTCCCTTTGACACTTAAATTTTGTTAAAAAGTAATTAAAAATAGCGACGTTTGTAAAGTTCGCTTTAAAAAACATGATATGGGGTGACCACAAAATTCATCTGAAAGCAAAGTGACACAGGCTTTATAAAACATAAATCTGGTATTTGACGTAGCCGTTTTTCGAAATATTGCGTTTGAGCAAAATGCCAGCTAGTCAAAATCAAATATCGATTTTTCACTAAAAATTTTGTTCGCTTTTTGGATGCGAACAAAATTTACTAATATAAAAAAAATAAAATTATAGCATATAAAAATATGTTCTTACTTACAATTAGTATTTAAAATTATAGTAATTTGAATCACAGTAAAAATCATAGTACAGTCATAGTAAAATTATAGTAATTTGAATCATTTTTATGGTAATTTCAACCATTTTTATGATTATAATAACTATAATTATAGTCATTTTAGGTTGTCAATTATACATATGATTGCTGTTATTATTATTATTATAGCAGTAATAATCATAATTATTGTAATATATAATTATAGTTACCAAACATTTTTCTCTCAGTGTACTGCGAAAACATGCATTAAAAGCTTTACATTTGCATTGAATCATCTACTACAGGGTCATAAAACAAATTCTTTGCTGCTCGAAAGCTCGATGGGTACAATAGAAACAAGAAAGACCCTTCTTTATACTTTAAAAGATCCTGTTTCAGATATATAAGCCCATTTGTCTAGTAAATTTGACTCGCTCGATGCGTTTGGCATTTTGTGTAACTTTTATATTTTTCGGTCGATTTATAACTTTACGATTTAAAACATTCTTAAGAGGTTAAACTTTAAAAAATATTTAAAAATGCTTATGCCTTTTGAAATCCTCTCGGAGAGCTTTTCTTTCGGCCAGGAGATTTCTTTTCGACACAAATCAAAATTTAACAATCAGTTAATTCTTTAACTTAGAGTTTTTTTTAGTAGATAAATGGGCTTATATGCATGAAACAGGATCTTTTAAAGTATAAAGAAGGGTCTTTCTTGTTTCTATTGTATTCATCAAGCATTTCGAGCAGCAAAAAATTTGTTTTATAGCCCTGTAGTAGATGATTCAATGTAAATGTAAAACTTTTAATGCATATTTTCGTAGTGCACTAAGAGAAAAATGTTTGGTAACTATAATTATATATTACAACAATCATGATTATTACTGCTATAATAATAATTCTTTAATTTAGAGTTGAATTGTTATTGACGAATGACGAAAAAAAAAAAAGATAATTAATCTTTAATTTGTAATGAAAAGAAAAATGTAATGTATAGAAAAGTGAAAGTAGTATTTTTGCTGCTTGAATTTGTTTAAAAAATAAATAATATTTTATTATTTGTTTCTCAGAAAATCTTTATTTATAACTTTATTCACATACAATTTCTTATAGAAGAAATGTAACTCAAAAATTAACGTCCGGTTATCCAATCTTGAAACTTGAGAGAATTACACGCTCTCGTATAAATATAAATTCATCACTAAAGACTCCTGCTGGAAACCGGCTCCAAGTTCACTAAAAAAATTATACTGATGAGAAAGTGCGACTTTTGAAAACGTGATTCTCCCATATCAACGAAAGACGACACGTTTCTTTTATTACGTATCTTCTTTCCGTTTTATTCCATTCAGTGATAAGAAATTTACTAAATCTTACATATTTCTTTGAATAATATTAAATAAACATTTATTTGCAGCAAATAAATATTTATTAAACAAAAAAATGATAATTAAATCAAATAAATGGTTTTTGTATCATGTAAATATATATTTATGTTTTGTAAATATTTACTTGAAACTACTCATAAATATTTATTAAAATTTATATATTTTTTCCAATTGGTTGTTGCGAAACGAGACTTCCCGGGTTTTGATCTGCTCCTGAACAATCGTCTAAACGTGATTGCATGAAACACGATAGTGATAACACGCAGATAGCATCTGGATAAAATTACATTCTGACACTCGTAGCGGTCGTAGCGCAAGGTAAAAAAAGTAGAAGGAATTATGTAGTGCAATGACCGGACACAAGCGTACACGACACGGGGCCAACCGGACTTTCTCTGCATATCTCTGCCGCCGACTGGATCGGCCTTAATCGTCATCGGCCGATCGCCATTATTACGGTTCGCGTTAACGCCTATTCGGCGATTAATTAATTCGTGACTGTCCCTCGAGGTATCCGAGATATCGCCGTCCGGAGACATGTGTTGCGTGTGTGAATGGCGCGTACTTTGCGACCTGTATTGGCGAGTGCATTTAAATTATAATCAGAATCGACCAATCACATTTTGCGCTAAGCGTAAGAAATTGGAAGGAGTAAGATGGACGTGCGTAACTGACTAAACATTTTAATAATAAAAACTCGCTACTTAAAAAAATACATGAATATGTTGCTAAGACACAAATATGATAAAGTATAAAGTTACCCTTACTCTCATGTCTAAACACGAAGTGTTAAGACAGTTTTAAGATTTTCAAATTTATATGCGCCTTTATTCTTCATTTTTTAATTTTTATTTTAAAGCCGTATATTTTAAAGTCGGAAATTTTTATTTATTGATAAAATTTCCACCGGTAAATCTATTTTTAAAATAGGATATGCATGACAAATATGATGACGACAATTTTATTTTGCGTCAAATAGTGGCGTGAACACGGATTATAAATAGCCTCCGACTCTTTATCACGACAGGTTTAACCGACATGTTTGTATTTTTGATCATTGCGTGCTGATACATACATATACGTGAGAGTCTAAAGCAAAATACGGAGTTTCCGATCGAGAATAACTTAACCACACCGACGTGACATACGGCGTACTTGTGTATGTATCATCTGTATTTCCTTTCAATAACATATCGTGTATAGGATTAATTTCATTACTTTTCAAAAATTATTTCCCCTCTTATTATAAGGCGGCGCCCTTATCGGATTGCATTGATTAACGTTGCAACGAGTCGCGACGAGCGAAATCGGTATAATAACAGGGCACATGCAGTTTGTTGTTGTTTATGTTTTATATCATATAAAATATACAGGCTTTGAGATCTGAGTCTAAAAAAGAAAATATATTATATTGTTTTTAGAATCGCCTGCAAAAACTCGAGTTACATTTGATATCAATAATCGAGATTGTTAATTTACTGTTAAATTTTTTAATGTATAATCAAAATTTACTGTAATTCATTTATTACCATTATTACATTGATCTTGAAACAGTGGTATTTAAATATTTTAAAATAATTCTAAATGTGTTTTATTGAAGTATCAATAATAATTTTAAAATTAGCTTA